ACCAGATACAGCCACAACGCAAAGGCTACTGGAAACGGCAGAGATTAGGGTACTGAGAAGGATTGCAAGAAATACGCTGAGAGATTGAAAGAGAAGTGAAGACATTAGAAGAAAATATAACATGCAGTGTATAAATGAATGGACAAAACATAGAAAAAATATTGTAATCACCACATAAGCAGAATGGAGCAGATCCGTGTCATCAAAATAGCAAGAGATAGTAACCAATCGGCAAAAGAAGTATAGGACGACCGCGTAAAAAAAGCAGTGACAACCTTTCATAAAGGTATTAATCCTCCAATGGACAAGCAGAATTGCTTATAAAGAGGAAGAAGAAGAAGATCTTCATAAGTAATATTTTTTATTTTCGTTGTACTTAAGCACGCGTGTTCTTGCTCCATGGTCTATTCTAATGTGGGTTTCAGAAAGAATATTAGACAATTCATCATTGGTAACATTGTATTGAGTATTTGTATCCCCAAGTTTTAATAGTACAATTACCTTTTCTGCATCACTGTTTTTTTTTTAATATCAAAACGTTTTAAAGATCTGTAATTCACACGTAACAGAAATAAATCACTTACATAAAAGTAGTAAACTAAGAGGTTACACGAAACATTCCAATTTTTGCAATCTCTAACAGTTGTTCTTTTTTAAATCCACTTCCCCCTGTTTCAGAAATATAGACATCCATGTGAGGAAATATTGAACACATCAGTAGAGAGAGTTATTTCCTGAGAGAGATAAGTCTCCCAAGTTTCCAGTAGAGATATCATCAAGGAAAATTAAAAAGTTTTCTATAACGAAAAGCACACAACTAATTGAAGTTTTCCCATGTCGAACGTTGTTTAATGTGTTGCAATAAAATAAGAAATCTTATGGATTTTTCCGTTTAACTGAAATTACCAATATATAAACGGTCACTCATGAAAGGAAACGTTATACAGGGTTTTTATTAGTATCTGTGAATTTATTTTATTTCAGGAATGTCAATATTGATGAACTTATTTTACATTTAGCAATTAAGGGGACTTTTACTTTCTAAATTAGAAAAAAAAGATTAGATACCTATTATATTCATGGTTATAATTTTTGTTTTCTACGATTTGAAGAAGGTTTTGAGGTATACAAAATTTTTTTTTGGTAGTTTTAGTTGTTTACTCATACTCCTGCAGAGAGCGCCTTCCAAAAAATTTTGCGCGCATTTTAATTTGGGAAAGACTTTTCTACCTTCCTGTAACATTTTTTAATTCGAAAGGGAAAGGGGAAAATTTACAAAAGTTTTGTTTAAAAACCCTATATAAAAAGTATATAATTAAAAAGACCCTTCTGGACTACATCACAACAAAATGTTTTCGGACTAACAAGTCCATTATCAGTGTCGTTACCTGGAATAAGTATTACCAAAGGTATTATGCCTATTTCGATGAGTTTCCTTACTTTGATTACGTTTTAAATGACCACCAAATCCAGACATTTCTTCCCATTTTAAAAACTATAATTTTCAATAAAGTAACTGTTCAGTTACAGGAGCACCGGTGAGGTGTCGCGAGTCATGTTGTATACAAACAAGTGTAGTTTATATAGGTACCATTATAAATACAGCTATAACTTCATTTTTATTCCGAAATTTTAAACAAAATTTTATAACAGTATTTCTATGATGCTGGGAAATGTTTTTGCGTAAAAATCGATTTTTTTTTATTTAGAAAGTAAAAGTCTCCTTAACAGCAAAAATAAATAAATAAATTAGGAAGGAAAGCTAGAAAAACATAAACAAAGTAAAGATATAACATAGAAAACTAATGAAAAACAATATAAAATGTATTTAAAATAGCAAAGAAAAAATCCTACTGAAAAACAGAGCAACAAAAGAAAGAAATTATGTCATTATTATTCTCTTTGCTTTAATTTCCATAGTTACATATATATAATAAATATATAATAAATATATTTTTGTTAATTTCCGAGAAAAATACTAAATACATAATTACATTTCTCCATATATTTCTATCTTGGGTTAAAAAAAAATGGCAATGCCATAGGTAGATATGTTTTGTATAAGTGGCAAGCATTAGGTTTTGTTTGGTCTTTTTTTAATTCTTGCAGCGATTCAGCAAGACTAATAAATGCTAAAAAAAATAATTCGACAAAATAAGTCAAAGAAGTAGGCCAAAATTTTAGAAATAGAAATTAACGCCTTTTTCATTAAATTTAAACAAGCAAAAGGATCCGTGAGGAAAAAATGGCCGAGAAAGTAAAGAAAATACTTTCGGGGAAAACATGCATGTCCAGAGTGATGGCAAAAGGGGGTACTTTCAAATACAGAAAATCCCACTCGACATTACGGCAGAAATGATCAAGAAATCCGTAGAGAAAGCTGCATGAAGAGGCATGCCTGTGAGGTAGTCAAAGTCTGGAGAGAAAGATATGGAGAGCGCCATAATAGATGTCGACGAAGACGCTGTTGAAAAAGTCTAAAAAGTTGAAGAATCTGCAACAAGAAGCTGCGAGTATATGAAATAATGGCAAAGGAAGGGTATATGATCGTCAGGATCAAGGATTTGCAGCTGGTGTTCTGTTATCTCTCTCCTATTATAACGGTGGATGAATATAAGAGGAAGATGGATAAGAGCATGTAAAAGGTGGTGAGTATGAAAAGAGAATGCGTGGTGCTCTGAGATGTCAACGATATATCGGAACGGAACATCGGTACATAGGATTCTTGATAACTGTAAGGAACTTATTAAATTGAAAGTAGGCGCGATACAGGGTCAAACGCCAACGGTGGAAAATCTGGGACGAATCGTAAAAGAAGCTATAGAAGGCAGTAGAATAGGTCGTCGAGAGGCGAGCAGGTTGTCATACTGATGGAATGCGAACATCTAGAAGTTCAGAGATAAATGCATAGTAATGAGGAGAATGATTACCAGGGCAAGGGACAGTGTAGAGATGAACCCTCTTATCGTCGACCAAATCCAGCAAATCGAAAGAAAATACAGCGCACTCTATATACAAATTTGTACAGAAAAAAGAAAACACTGAAAAGAACTGTGTAACAATCTGGATGAAGACATCTTTGGTCAGGCATAGAGGATGGCAATAAAAAGCTTTCATGCGTACCCCTCATACGAAATGCCATTAGACAAAAAATTTCAGGTAACACGAGAGCTTTTTCTGTCCAGCAGATGGCATGAAGTAAGGAGGGACGAGGAAGCTGTGCGAGCCGTACCCTTTACCATAGATGAGGCATTATATGCACTCAAGACGCATAGGTCACTCGGACTAGACCAGATACCGCCCGAAGCGGTAAACGGTATAGGTGGCTTTTTGGAGCACATAAATGCATTGCTTGAAGCACAGACATTTCCTGGGACTTGGAGTACATCAAGGTTGGTACTGCTTCCCAAAACTTCAGAAAAAAAAAACACACAAATGCCTATGCTGCGAATAATCCGACACTGGATATTCACACAATGCTGAAGTGTAGTAGATGGACAGTGAAGAGAAACAGAATTTATGGAGAAACAGGTATGAACCCTGTGACTGTGAGCGAGATGATCGTGAAGATAGCCAGAAGTACGGAGAGATGGAATAGTGTACACAATTACATCTAAGCAGTCATTAAGAAAAAAGAAGAAGAGAAACACCATCTGGAACAACGACAGAGATAAGATCTAGATAAGAGAAGTAAGTGTTCCGAAAGTGTCGTTAGCCTTATAGCGGCCATCTCACTTTCAGATTACGGTGTTTTTAGTTTATAAGCGGATAACATGAGAGCATCCGTTTGCTGGACCTCTTTTTAGGGGGAAATGGGCACGGATATATTCCTCTACTTTGAATCCAACACCCGCCAGCCATATCTAGGTTGACGTTATGGCTGATCTCTATGGGTTACTCTAGTACGGTTTTTTAGAAATGTCTACTCTAAGGAAAAAAAAGTAAAAGGATCCAACTCAAGTAGTTCTTACAAAAATATAGAAAGAAGGGTCTGACAGAAAAAAAAAGATAAAGAACATTTTGATTCATACTACATTAAATAAACAAAAAGGAAAGGTACAGACTCATACCTAGATAGAAATGTAAGAAATTACGAACAAAATATTTAAAACAGAAGAAGTAAGGAGTTAAAATTGTCAACATAGAAAGAGATAAAAAAAATAAAGTACTGTTTAGAAAACTAAAAAGTTCAGACAACCGAATAACTGTGAAAGATACAATAAGATGAAGTCTACTGTTAAAAAGGTGATTAACATCTCGATAAACAACAAACAGATATATAAAAAAGTAAAACAATTTGAATAATTTATAGACAAAAAAACATTCGGTAAGATTCAGTGTAAACAAGTGTACAACAGAGAAACAAGAAGAAATCGAAAAGATCGTCCAATTAAAAAGACTAGTCGTTATTAAGAAAATTTTTATGGCAAATGAAAAATTCAAAATCAATCAAGCGAATAACGTTGAAAACAACTGTAATCAGTGCAACCGCTAACTAAAAGATTAAATTTTCTGAATTCGGTTCTGTTCATCGTAATATTGTGGGAGCTTTTTTTCTGTATGGCCAATCATTCAAGCAATCAGCTTGTTATGTATCTAAATCAATTGTCGCTCTGTTTGACAATAAAATAATTGATAACTAAAGCCGACTGCTATTTATTTATGCTGTCTGTTTAATAGAATTTGTATTTATATTGAAATGGTTATTTTTAAAGCGTGTGTTGGTAGTGACAGTTAATTTTTATATTATTACTTTGTTGTTTCTGAGTAAAAAATGTTATATAACTGTGCCTTCAAGAACATCCTGTTTAAAGGTAAATGCAATTTACGTATTTATACTCACATGTTTTCAGAGTTGTATTCAGTAAGAACAAAAATGTTTTCTATCTTATTGAGCACTTGACCTGATATACTATTTTAGTAGTATTTCTGTCCAAACTTTTAAAAAGTATATTACTTAGTTTAGAAAAAAGTTCTGTTTAAAGCATGGAACTTTTTAGTATCCTTCCATTGCACCAGTACAATCAATTTGGCATAGCGATGATGAGCGACGCAAAAAATTAGCATTTCTATTCTCTAAACAGTTAATAAGCAACCAACATGTTGCGCCCCCATATGGTCAAAGATGTGGTTGGGTTCTCAAAAGTGTAACAGATTTTGGAGATAGAGGCGCTTTTCTAGAAATTCATGCAAAGAATTGGGCTGCAGTCAATGAACAAATTGTTTTGTTGTCAAAAAGGAGGTCACAGTTAAAGCAAGCTGTTGCCAAGATGGTTCAAGAATGCTGCACCTATGTAAATAAAACTTCAGATAAGGAGACTAAAGTAACACTTATAGGCACATTAAGGAAGGTTACTGAATGCAAAATTTATGTAGGAGTTGAAAGAGTTCGTCTGACTCACAAATTAGCCAAAATCTATGAAGATGCTGATGATATACAACAAACTGCTGATATTATTTAAGAAGAACTGCAGGTGGAAGGATGAATCTATGGAGGAAAGAAAAAAAGTGAAATTAACACTAGAGCAGATGAGATTGTGTGTTGCGAAACAGAACTACATGAAAACTCAAATCATTTACAAGAATATCAATTTTAAATTTTTTTAAGAAGATGGCTCTTTAGATTTAAAATTAAACTATTACAGACTGATGATGGAGGTGAATCAACATGACGGTTTCTATTTGGCAACTTGTAAACACTACTTTCTTTTCTAATACTCCAAGCATTATGGCAGAGCCTGAAGAAAGACAAGCTGTTGTTCTATATATTATAATGGCCCCACACGACAATAATTAGGTTGATTTGGCACACCGAGTGTTAGCTGACAAAGTTTTGGAAGAAATTCCAACCGACAAGCATCTTTAAAAATCTTTACAAGTCCGGAATTGATCAAATAGTCTGATTTGTGTGAAATGTATGAAAAGCAGTTGAAGAGAGTTTTGGAAACGATCAGGCCTAGAAAATATGGTCAGATTTAAAATCGAGAGTCGTCGAACATAACATCCGAGTAATGACCAAATACTACACCCGAATTACAGTAAACTACATCTCAGAATTTCTAGATCTCTCACGAGGAATTCAAGGAATCTCAAGAGAAACAGAGGTATTCCTGTCTCAAATGGTTATTTACAAAACGATTCAAGCTAAAACTGATACTTCAGCAGTAGTTACTCGTTTCCAATAAAGCAAAGATCCCAGCGATGTCTTGAATAATTGGGCTTACGATTTGACTCAGCTGATGCAGCTTGTCAACGAATTCACTTATCCCATCAACAAGGATGAATGTGTTCACAAATATCTTTAGTCTACTACAGCTTAAGTTTTTGGTCTGAAAAATTTTTTATTTATAAAATATATTTGCAAATAAATATTTTGTAGGATGTAATAATATTGCATAATATTACATTTTTTTAATTAGATTGCTTTGGTAAAGACCAATTATAGTCCTTCTCAGAGCCTTCTTTCAGTGCGTCATTAATTGTGACGTCATATACTGTATTGGATGTGTCGAGAATTATTTCATGTAATTATTGAGAATTCTGACAGATGCCAGAACCGTACTTACTTTTATTGCAAGGTGGATTAAATAATAGTAAACAATTTTCTTTATTAAAGTTATTAATAAAACAAATACTGCTTTTAAAGATGTTTATTAGGTAATTTATAAATTAATTACATAAATAGGATATAATTCAAATCATAAAAACAATTTATTCACTGATGTCTAATAATAATACTTTATTGAAGACATTGAAAAGTAGAATTTGGATATCAATGAAATATTAAAACCTTTCCTGTATTAATTAAAGATTTCTTTGGAGTTAAAATTACTTAGCTAGGTGCAGCGTCTTACTTATAACCCTAGGCTGAACAATTATTCAAAAACGTTGAACACTCTGAGGAATTTATCACCAATTAAAATTTTTGAAAAATTACCTAAGTACTGAAGAAATTATTACAAACATTATGGCCCGTCAATTTTATACGCACATCAAAAAATAATCACTCTTTTACAATATCTCCAAACGAAATGCAAACTTTTTTACAATAATAGATCTAACAGGGTATAACAGATTCCCACGAGAAAGTTTATACTGGTCATTAGATGGGTCCCTGTGTTTACAACGCTATTCGTATGAGCAGAGACAGGTACTTAGATATAAAAAAGTTTGTTCATCTAGCGGATAATGCCAGACTAGGCGATTCTAAAGATCATCTATTATTACAATAGATGATGACACATTGTATGGCTCAGAACTGTAAACATATTTATTACTAATATCTTTTCGATTCAAGTATTTTTTAGATCACGCACCGGCCGGCGGAGACGCAGGTAAAAACCGATGGGTCCCCCTCCGATAAAAAAAACCAGCCTGAGTTCCCGTTAATTCGAGGCAATTATTGTCAACACTGCCACAATCAGTCTTCCCCAATGTTCGAGTCAATTCATGTCTGCTTCTAGGGGATTCCGAAACTAACGGAGTTTTATATTTAAAGAAGGAATTCTGTTGGAAAGGACAGTTAGTTTTGTCTGCTTCTAGGGGATTCCGAAACTAACGGAGTTTTATATTTAAAGAAGGAATTCTGTTGAAAAGGACAGTTAGTTTTTGGAGATCGCGCCACGTTTTAAATTGTAACTCACGTATTATAAATGTAGATAAATTATATAATGATTAAGTGTAAAATAAATTAGTAGTAATAAAGACGTTAACAAATTTGTGAGTGTTATAAGTATAAAACCTTATAGAATAGAATTATAGAATAGAAGTTATAGAATAAATAATAAAGACAATAAATTAGAATTAATAAAGACTTAACACTATGTATAAAACTAGACCCCTAACAGATAAAATTATAAAAAAAACTATAAAAAAAATATACAGGTCTCATTCAAGAAAACTGGTTTTTGAATATATAAATTGCTTTCATTGTACTTATAGGCTTTTAAGAACTGAAGTCTTTTTAAAGTCACATGTGGTTGTTCCATTAAATACTTTCTGTTAGCAACACCACAATTTACCCATCTGAATTTTAATTCCTTTAAAACCCCGCTAAGTGCAGCAATAGAAATATTAATCTCATCTACTTCCTCTAGTTTTTGCTTCAGGGTATAGAGAGTCACGTGCTCACCTAAAACGATCAAAGTTTAAAGACATTATAGTGATTCTTCTAGAAAAAAATATTCAGAATGTAAAGTAACACGTTAGTTTTGATATTAGGAATTTGTCTATTTAAATGATATATGCAACAGTACTTCTTTCATAAATGGTAATAACCATATTTGATTAATCCAAAGTATAAGAAATATAAAAATATATCTATATATTTTACCAAACTGCACAAGGTAAATGCGTAAACTCCAGCAAAAAGGCAAAGAGGAGTCTTAAATCTGTATTTAAATACTTGGTATTTAATTCAGTAGTATTCTTTTTTTAATCACTTTTAATTCTATCTATTTTATATATGTAACTAGTTGTCAGTAACAATTTATGGTAAAATATTTTAAGTAAACTGTTGTAATGCCCTTACCTTTACTAAATATTCTGTATACACATATCCTGATAGCACGTTCGTATTTATTTATTAATAATGTCGGTTTACGACTCCTGGCTACTGATTGGATCATTGTGATTGAATAATCAGAATCTTTTTGGACACTTTCATGTGCCAATCGTCTTATTGTTGGCAAAGAAATTCCTAACAGTTGGTAAAAATAAAACAAATTTATTTTCAGTGTAATTTCAAACTTACTTCACGAACCGCAGAAAAAATCAATAGAGACACTAAAACAAATGGATATAAACGGACTAGCCACTAAAATAAAAGTAACTGTAACAACATCGGTTAAGAAAATATGCTCAAACACGAAATCAGCGAAAACATCTAAACTCCAACCTAATACAATTAAACTACTCCAAGAAAGACGAAACAGAAGAGATCTAACTTCGGACAGCTTTAAAAGTTTAAACAAAAATGTGAAGAAAGAAATCAGGAACGATCATAGAAACTATAATAACAATCTAATAAAATAATATAATACAAGATAACTGCAACATGAAAGTACTCAAAGCAAAAAACTCAAGCGGCACAACAAACATCATAGAAATAAAAAATGACAAAAACATCACCGTCAGAGACAGAAAGGAAATAAGCGAGGCCATTGAAAAGTCTACACTAAACTATACTCGGTAAATACACAACCACAACAACGACGTACTCAACGAACAATAATTAACACCGGCTCAGAAGAAATACCGGACATAACCGACTATGAAATAAGAATGGCCCTAAATCAACTTAAAACGAATAAATGTCCGGGAGAGGATAAGATTACAGTTGAAATGTTGAAAATTGGTGGCAGAAAAATGGAACATATATTAAATGTTTTATTTAATAAAGTAATTGATGAAGGAAAGATTCCTCAAGAATGGTACAACTCCGAGGTCATTTTACTATTCAAGAAAGGAAACAGAGCAAACATCGAGAATTACCGACCAATATCCTTGCTATCACATCTGTATAAATTACTAACTAAAATCATAACCAACCGCCTAACACATAAGCTCGATTTCTATCAACCTATCGAGCAGGCTGGATTCAGAAAACATTTTAATACCATAGACCACTTGCACACCGTAAGAACACTGATAGAAAAATGCACCGAGTATAATGTTCCAATTCATATGGCGTTCGTCGATTTCCATAAAGCATTCGATTCCATCGAATTATGGGCAGTGCTTAAATGTCTACAAAATGCAAGCATAGATTCAAGATACATTAACATAATTAAAAACATATATGAAAATGCCACCATGCATATAAAGCTGGACGAAAGCACAAAAACTAATCCCATAAGACTACAACGGGGAGTAAGACAAGGAGACACCATCTCTCCCAAACTATTTACCCTTGCTCTAGAAGATATTTTTAAGAAACTTCTTCTTCTTTAAGTTCCATCTTCTATCGAAGGTTGGAAATCATCATGGCTATGCGGACTCTGTTGACTGCCGCTCTAAAAAGTTCTGCACTACTGCATTCAAACCATTCCCTTAAGTTCTTAAGCCAGGATATTCTTCGTCTTCCCACATTTCGCTTTCCTCGGATTTTGCCCTGCATAATAAGTTGTAATAATGCGTATTTTTGCCCTCTCATCACATGTCCCAAGTATTCAAGTTTTCGTCTTTTAATAGTTAATATTATTTCCGCCTCATTTCCTATCCTTCTAGTTACTTCCATGTTTGACATTCTTTGAATCCATGATATTCGTAGGATTCTTCTGTAACACCAAAATTCAAAGGCGGCCAGCTTATTCAGATGAACTTGTTTGAGTGTCCAAGCTTCCAGACCATAAAGAAGAGTAGAGAACACGTAACATCGAAGCATTCTCAGGCGTAGTTCTAACCTTATATCCCGACAACAAAGAAACTTTTTAAGTTTAATAAATGATGTACGTGCTATTTC